CGGCCCCCCCCCCCCCCCCTGAGGCCAAGGGCCTGCCCACCGCGAGCCTCCCATCGGCGGTGGGGCGGAGCAGACGGGGTCGGAAGATCGGACCGCCTCGCCGACCCATCGGCGATGCATCGGCGACCCATGGGCAACGCCAGCGTGGAGAACATCGGGCCCCACATCGAGCCGAATCGCCGATGCATCGAGGATACGGCGCGATCCTCTGACCCCATTTACCCGGGCCCGAGTGTAGGAGGCCCAGAGAGGAGAAGAAGGAGGCCTCCTCGGAAGGCGGCGCAGCCTCTCGGAAGCCCTCGCGCCTCCCGAAAGGTTTGGTTATGTTTGGCTGCGTTGTTCTTATAGTGTTTCTGTCTATGGGGGGACAACCTCCTCCTCCTCCTCCTCCTCCTCCTCCTCCTCCTGTCTTTAGGGAACACTTCTCAGCAGGCCAGGGGGCTTCCGAACCTTCTGAGCAGGCCTTCTCCTCCTCGCTTCCATCCCGGGGGGCTGGCCGCCGACCCAAGCTTATATATATATATATATATATATATATATATATCCCTGCAGCGGAGGCTCGACCTCACGAGAGACCCTCCGCGAGGAGGCCCAAACCCTGAGACCCCAGGGCGCCCGTGGACTCGTGTCGCGGGAGCGTCACGCTCTCAATGGCAAGGGCATCGAAAGTCTGGAAACCCAGGGCACCCTGGAGGCACGCAGAGTCTTGGCATGGGACTCCGCTGTACCTCTCAGGCCATCCCCCAACCCAACTGTATGTTTCAAGCTGGTGGCCTCATGTGGACGTCTCACGCCTCCATCTGCCGCCTTCCCACAGGCAGCGCCGCCGCAGCGGGTTCTGCCTCCGCCAGCCTCCCGCCGAGCGGCGGGAACGGCACCGCAGGCAATGGCCCTTTCTCTGGAGCGCCTCGGATGGCACGGGACCCAAAGGTTTGGAAGGAACCCTGTCTCTGTCTGACGACCTACCAGACCACCCCGAGCCGACCCGAAGGCCCGAAATTCGGGTTGGGGGGGAGAGGGTACGGGCTTCATATGTAGCTGTTCAGTGGTGCCCAGCCCCCCCCCACACACACACTGGAAATGGAGGGCAAACTGGGGCCTTCGGGTTGGGTTGGGGTGGTTGGTGGGCGGTGACCGTCGTCGTGCCTTCAGCTTCCTGAGGTGCCCCAAGGCATCTGTGGGACCCAAGGGCCATCACGGGGATCGGGAACTTCCGCGGGGTATATGCTTGCAGGTCAGGTTCTTATCCGACAGGCCCACTGTTATCGACGACCGAATATTGCTGCAAATGCTGCTACTGTCAGCGTGGGCGCACGGCTCCCAACACACACAGTGCAAGCACCCCGCGTTACCCTGCTGTCCTTGCCGCCGCCGGTGGGGTAGGGGAATTCCGTGGCGGACACCAGCCCGGCGTGCATGACGTACTCGAAGGCGAGCTCGGCTGGAGTTCTCTCTTGTCAGCGCATGCCGGTGCAGTCAGTGTGATACCGTGGGGAACGCTATACAATGGGGACCCGGCCACAAGAATTTTTTTTCACCAGAAACTCCACTTTGATACCCCAGGACGCCCATGGATTTTTGGTGTGGGAACGTCGCGCTCTCCCTCGCAAAACCGTTGGAACCCAAGAAACCCAGGGCACCCTGGAGGCAAGCATAACCCCGACGTCGCTATTTTGTCACATGGGCGACGACAAGAAAGGGGACTTACGCGTGATGGCATGGCGACCTTACGCGGTGACTTGCGCGGGCCGCCCGCGCGGCACGCCAATTCGGAAACGAGGGCGCTCACGCGCGACTTCACGCGGGCAGCTTACGCGCCAATGTCGGCGCATACGACACCGTTTTTTGCTTCGCTCACGTGGATCCCTGGAGATCTAATCCCCTTCCCCAGGGCCAAATCTTCATCCGAAATATTTGTTCGACGGCCCCAGGCTCGGTGAGGGCCCTCAAAGGCGAGGATGACAAGACAACTCACGTCGAGAGTCTGAGCCTCTCCCGCAGCGAAGACGTCTCCCGACCTGGATCGGAAGAGCACCCCTGTTTTTGTTGCATCCTCTCCCGCGGACCCAAACTAATTTTCACTGCCAGAACATCTGATGATCCTGCTCGTGTTTTGCTGCTCCCTGCTCCCTGCCTGATTGGCACAATGTCGAGGGCAGGATAATTGAAAACGTCACTGCTGGACGCACTGGACTGAGGAAGCCAACGCCAGCTACGCGCTGGGCAGCACCCAGGACAGGCCAGGCGTCATTGGGCCATCGCGGCTCCGCATCCGTTCGGCAATCCAAAGCGGAACACAATCTGTATCCTCGACGAGAAGCGGGAGCAGAAGGGCGAGGAGGAGGAGGAGGATGCTGACGCCAGCGACGATGGCGACGACGATGACGCACACCCCAGGAGCTGACCTCAATGTAAGCAGCAGCAGGGGCAGTGGAAGTGATGATGGTGGTGATGTTGATCGTGATAGCCGCATATCGCAATAATTGGAATTGAATTAGTATTCGTCGTGGTAGCGGTGAGCTCGTACTAATAATACTCGTATCGATAACATGATGAGTGATAATACAAGCCGTAGTAAAAAACATAAGAATAGGTGTTGTAGCAATAGCAGTCGTCATCGTGCTAGTGGAATTACTTCTAGAAATAGCAGCCATCGCCGTAGGAGTTGTACCAATGAAAGTAATCCAGTCTCGTAGTAGGACGTACTAGTCAAGATACTAATCGCAGTCGTCGTAGTAGTAGTCGTCCTAGAAGTAGCCGTAGTGATATGAGTAGTAAGAGCAGTCGTTGTAGTACCGAGCTTATTAGTAATACTATAATGATAGTAGTAGACCTACTAATAATGGTAAAACTAATAGTAGTAATAGTAGTAGTAGCCGTAGTAGTAGTAGTAGTCGTAGTATTCGTAGTAATGGTAGTAGTAGTTTTGGTAGTAACAGAAAAAACAATCGTACTAGTAGCTGTAGTAGTAGTAGTAGTAATAATTGTAATAGTAGTGGTCGCAAGAGCACTGATAGTGGCAGTAATCGCAGTCGTATTAGTATCATGGTAGTAGTAGCAGCAGTAGAAGTATTGGTGGTAGTATTAATGGTCAACGTAAACTTGATCTATGTACATTAAGAATGGTAATTCTAATAGTGCTAAGATGGGTGGTCGTAGAAGCATTGGTGGTGGTAGCGGTTGTTGTACAAGTACTAGTGGTAGCCGTCGTGGTAATCGAATTCGTAGTAGTCGTCGCCGTCGGAGTAGTAGTAGTAGTAGTAGTAGTAGTAGTAGTAGTCGTAGTAGTGGTACTAGTAGTAAAACTCCTAACGGTGATCGTATGGACAATGATAATATGGGTGATGGAATAGACGCTGCTGCAGTAGTAGTAGTAGTAGTAGTAGTAGCAGTAGCAGTAGTAGTGGTAGCACAGGTACTGGGAGTAGAAGAAGTATCAGTAGTAGTAGTAGTAGTAGTAGTAGTTCTAGTGGTAGTAGTAGTAGTAATAATATAAATAGTGGTGTTAATAGAAGCAATCGTAACCGTAATCGTAGTAGTAGTAGTAGTAACAGTAAGAGTAATAGTGGGGTAGTAAAAGTAGTAGTAGTAGTAGTAGTAGTAGTAGTAGTAGTAGTCGTAGTAGTAGTAGTAGTGGTAGTAGTAGTGATAGTAGTAGTAGTAATCGTAGTGGTGGTGGTGGTGGCAGTAGTAGTAGTAGTGGTGGTAGTAGTGGTAATTATAATGATAGCACTTGTTTTGGAGTTAGCAGTAGTAGTCGTAGTAGTAGTCGCAGAGCCAGTAAGAATAATACCAAGAATCGTGGTAATAGTAACAGTGGTAATCGTAATAGAAGCAAAAGTAATAGTCGTCACTGTCCTATTCGTAGTCGTAATCGTAAGAGTAGTCGTAGTAGCCAAGGTAGTAGTAGTCGTAGTCATAGTAGTGAAAGTCATAGTGGTAATGGTAGTCGAAGTAGTACTAATGGTGGTAGTCTTCGTGGTAGTAGTAGCAGCAGTAGCAGTGATAATACTGGAAGTCGCCATCGTTGCCGTAGTAGTAGTAGTAGTAATAGTAATCGTAGTAGCCGTAGCCCAAATAAAAAAAGTAGCAGCAGTAGTAGGTGGCGCCAAGTAAAAACAGTGGTAGTAGCAGTAGTAGTAGTAGTAGTAGTAGCAACCGTACTCGTAGTAGTAGTAGTAGTAGTAGTAGTGGTAGTAGTAGTAGTAGTAGTAGTAGTGGTGGTAGTAGTATTCGTAGTAGTTCTTGCTGTCGCCAAAAAAGTAATGGTGGTATTAGCAGTAGTAGTAGTCGTAGTAGTAAGGGTGGTAGTAGTAGTGGTTGTACTAGTAGTAATAGTACAACTTGATAGTAGTAGAAATAGTAAAAGTAGTAGTAATAGTAGTAGTAAAGTAGTAGTAGTAGTAGTCGTAGCAGTAGCAGTAGTAGTAGTAGTAGTAGTAGTAGTAGTAGTAGTAGTAATCGCAATAGTAGTGGTAATAATAATAAGAGCAATAGCAACCACTGTTACGAAAATAGTTGTCATCGTATTACAGGACGTGGCAATGGTAGTAGCAATGGTCAACATAGAGGTAGTTTAAGTACGAATTGTAAGGCAACGCGTGGCCTGTTACCAGATTGCGAGGAAGAGTCTCGCAGTTTTCAGCGGCACCTTTTTGGGATTACATCGCATGTCGTGGATTCCGTCAGGACTCCGCAACATGATCCTGGATACTTTAAGATCCCACGAGGTTCCCATCGATTCCTGCGGATTCCGTGGGTTCCCTTAAGATTCCTCAGTGCCCCGCAACCTCTCAGGATACCTCAGGGTCCACATGGTTTCCAGGAGACTGCTCTGGATCCAAAACATCCACTGGGCTTTGTCATGTTTCCCCTTGGTCCTTCAGCGTCCCGTCGGATTCTTCGGGCATCCTTAATGGTTCCTTCGGGTTTCTCAGAACTCCTCTGGACTCCGCCGGAATTCATGCGGATTCAGCACAATTCCAGAGGATGCCTAAGTGTTCGTCAGGTTTTCCGGGGGCCCTCACGTTCCCCCACGGCTCTTCATACTTTTGGTGGATCGTTGAAGACGTCGCATGTGTGCTTACGGTTTCTCCAAATGGCTCCCCCAGATGATCCCATAAGTTCCTGAAGATGTCCCACAATTCCTCCCGATTCCTGGGAGGTCATCAGCATTTCTCGGGGGTCTTTGGGTTCGGCAGGGCCCCCATATATTTTTAGGACGCTCGAGTGATAGAGGCTGGCCTGCTGTTGCTGCTTTTCCGCCTCCTCTGTGTCCTTTTCCTCCATCTCCCGACCTTGTGATTTGATTATTTCGGCCCTCCTCCCTCGCTGGCCCTGCTGGGCGCAGCTCGGGAAAACTGGCCAGGATGGGCTCGTGTCGGCGTCGTGTGGGCCGCATTCCGGCTCTGAGTTCAGAGCCTGAAACACATGTGTTGGATTAAGCGGTCACGTACCTGCTTGATGCTCCTGCACAGGCATATTTGCCTTTGTTGTTGTGCCGGCCACTCGGCTGGAATTAAGAATCGCCAAGCATTGTTGGCGCATCCTGAGATCAGGTGTGCCCTCGGCCCCGCGTGTCCTTGTCTGTCTGTGCGTCTTCACTGGGTGACTCAGACTGTCCTCAAAAGCAGTCAACGGTGGCCTCCACAAGTGCATGCGCCCTCCGTCCATCTGGGAGTGTCAGGAGTGCGATATACTCAAGGAAGGCGCCGCCGTCCTCGTCTTCGTCGTCGTCCGTCATCCGTCGTCGTCCTCGTCGTCGCTCCACCTTCTGGCTCCCTCTTGGAAGCCATAGAAAACATCAACTTTTCTCTGGAATCCTGAGGCGCTGCGCTTTCCTTATGGATTTTTTCTTGGAATCCGACACCAGAACAGCGGTGTTCTCTGGAATCCGCAGGCGCTCCTTTTGACTTATGGTTCCCGTTGGACAGTCAAGATTTTGAGGCGCTTCCATTTTCTCATGGATACTTTTGAAAGGCAACACAACACAATGTTTACTTTCTGCTGGAATCCGGAGGCGCTCCATTTGCCCGATGGACTCCCATGCGAATTTCAAAACAATATTATTTGTGTTATCGATGGAATCGGGAGGCCTCCATTTTCCTTATGGCGTCCTTGCGAAGGTTGAGACAAACAAGTAGTTTTCTCAGAAATCCGAAAACGTTCCAATTTCCTTATGGATTCCTTCTGAATGCAACACAAGCAATGATTTGTTTCTGGAATCCGGAGGCGCCGGCTTTTGCTGATAGCTTCCTTCAGGCAGTCAATGGAAAACTATGGTTTCCTATGTATTCTGGAGGCGTTCCATTTTTCTCATGGGCGCCGAACCGCACATTCAATACGACACATTAGCTTTCTCTGGACTCTGGAGGCGTTTCATGTTCCTTCTGATTGCGTTTCGAAGTTCAGAGCAAACCCATGGTTTCTTCCTGGAAGCTGGAGGCGCTCCTACATTGTCAATCTGAACCCTTTCTTGAAAAGGCGATACCAAAAATGTCCATGCTTTTTTAGCGAACGCGCTCCCGAGCCGCGACCCTTACCCTTACCCTCTCCATTCGCCACTCATTCCAACCTGGTAACACAGACTACGTGTAAGTATAATCGTTGAAATAGTCGTAGCGAACAGATTAGTAATAGTCGCAAGAGTAGTAGTAGTGCTCGTAGTAGTCGTAATAGTAGCAGTAGTGGTAGTAGTAGAAGCATTGGTAGTTGTAGAAGTAGTAATCGTAGCTGTAGTAGTAGTAGTAGTAGTAGTACTAGTAGTAGTAGTAGTAGTAGTAATAGTAGTAGTAGTAGTAATAGTAGTAGTAGTCGTAGTAGCCGTAGTAGCCGTGGTAGTAGTCGTAATCGTAGTCGTACTCGCAGTGGTAGTTGTAGTGGTAGTGGTAATGGTGGAGTATTCGTAGTAGTAGTAGTAGTAGTAGTAGTAGTCGTAGTCGTAGTAGTAGTAGTAGTAGTAGTAGTAGTAGTAGTGGTGGTAGGATTAGTAGCAGTAGTAGTAGTAGAAGTAGTGGTGGTGGTGGTGGTAGTAGAAATCGAAATAGTAGTAGCTGTAGTCGTAGTAGTAAGAATAGCCGTAGTAGTAAGTGTACGAGTAGTAAGCGTAGTAGTAGTCGTCGTATTAGTCGCTGTAGTAGTAGGACTAGTAGTAGGACTAGTAGTAGGATTCGTAGTAGTAGTAGTAGTAGTAGTAAAAGTAGTAGTAGTAGTAATAGTAGTAGTAAGTGGTAGTCGTAGTAGTAGTAGGAGTAATAGTAATAGCAGTCGTAGTAGCAGTCGTAGTCGTAGTGTTGGTAGTAGTAGACGTGGAAGTAGTAGTCGTAGTAATAGCCATCGTAGAAGTAGTAGTAGCAGTCGTACTAGTAATAGTAGTCGTAGTCGTAACCGTAGTAGCAGTACTAGTAGCAATAGAAACATTAGTAGCCGTAATAGTAGTAGTAGTAGTAGTAATAGTAGTAGTAGTAGTAGTAGTAGTAGTAGTAGTAGTAGTAGTAGTAGTGGTAGTAGTGGTAGTAGTAGTAGTAGTAGTAGTAGTAGTAGTAGTAGTAGTAGTAGTCGTAGGCGTAGGCGTAGGCGTAGGCGTAGCCGTAGTCGTAGTAGTCGTAGTCGTAGTAGTAGTAGAAGTAGTAGTAGTAGTGGTAGTAGTAGTGGTAGTAGTAGTAGTGGTGGTGGTAGTAGTGGCGGTGGTAGTCGTAGTAGTAGTAGTAGTAGTAGTAGTAGTAGTAGTAGCAGGCAGTAGTAGTAGTGGTAGTGGTGGAAGGAATAACAGTAGTAGTTGTAGTGATAGTAGGAGTAGTAGTAGCAGTAATAGTAATCGTCGTCGCAGTCGTAGTAGAATGAAAATCAAAGTAGTCGTGGTAATGGATGCCGGAGGCATAACGAATCAGACACTGCTGGCGAAACGCCATGGCAGACTCAAAGTCAGGGGAATATAATATCACTAATATAAAGAAGAAACCATATAATAATAACAGGATGAAAGAGGAAACTATACATAAGAAGAGGAAGACAGATAATAATAATATAATAACAAATAACAAGAGAAGGACCACACATGGGACAGAGCAGGCTCTTCAACAAGAAGCTAGTGCAGGGACGTCCTGAGCTTGCGGCATCGGAAACGCCAGCAGCGGCACAGCTAGCAGAAGGGACTTTGATGAACGGGACGTTCGATGCCCACTCGCACGCTGGCAGAGAGGCGCGGGCGCAGTCGCGCCGAGCCCCCGCGGCCGATGAGAGCGCTCTGGCTGCGCTCACGGCCGCCCGAAACGTGAAAAAAGCTTCGGAGACGGACGAGCACCAGTCGAAGCTACGCACCCCTGAGCACAGCGGGCGCTAAGGAGGCGGCGGAGGAGAGGGACAAAGCGCCAGCCTGTCGACCCCTTGCAGCCCCCGGTGCCGCCGCAGTGCTTCGGGTTCGGGGCGCAGGAGACGATCTCGGTGCGGGGCCGCCCGCCGCTGCTCTCCCGCATCCCCCCTCCGCCCTCCTGGTCTGGCTCCGCCCGCCCCCAGTCCGCCGCCGCCGCCGCCGCTGCCGCCGCCGCTGCGTCCTCCTCCTCCTCCTGCTCCTCCCCCCCTCCTCCTCCTCCTTCCTCCCTCCCTCCCTCCCTCCCTCCCTCCGTCTCCCCCTCCTTCTTCTCGCCTCCCCGGAACACAAGCCGATGGGCGTTCTCTTAGCTCTCTTTGCAAAATCAGAGGGCCTCTTCTGATACGGGTCGCCTCTTTCTCTTCGCAACCGCAGCACAACGCCAGTAGAAGTACCGCATGCTGGTCAGAAACAGGGGAATGACACCCCGAGGGCCAGAAAGCGAGGCTGCCGCAAGCGGACGTAATGTATCTTTCTCACATGTTGATCTTGGGCGCTATTGGTCCCTCTTGGGCCCGATTACGTGCTGCTGGGCGCCGTTGGGCGCTACGTGGCGCTATTGAGCGCTAGTGGGCGCTATTCGCCGATATACATTCAATCCTAGACGAGTAGAAACTTACATGACTTACTATCTAAACTGTTACGTACAACGATCTTGACTGTCGATCCTCGATCCCAGATCCGCGTCGTCGTCAAGGTCGTCGGAAGCGTCGTCGCTGGCCTCGCCTGGCTGACCGAGAACTGGTGGTCGCGCCCAGCGATCTCGGCGTGGGAGCGCAGCACGGTGTCGGACGCAAATGCCCAGCAGCTTCCGCACTGACCTAGCGGAACAACAAATGCACGGGCTTAATCTTATGGAGGTCCGCGCGGATGTCTTGGACCGGCGCTGGCCCCCCTCCCTGGCGCGCCGAGCGAGCCAGCGGCAGCGCAGGAGGCGCTGGCAGAAGGGCCCAGCGCCGATACAAGAAATCCGCCAGAGCTCCAACAACGTCCGTCTATGAGATTCGCTGCTCCTCGATGACCCTGGTTCTTTTCCTCCTGGAGGCGGGCGCCGGCTATCCAGCGACGGCAACTGCTCCACACCACGGGGAAGGGATGGGCGGAAGGGGGCAGGGCGCCAGACATGGCGCGAGCGCGCCTGGCCTGTCCTCCTCCTCCTCCTCCTCCTCCTCCTCCTCCTCCTCCTCCTCCTCCTCCTCCCCCTCCCCCTCCTCCTCCTCCTCCTCCTCCTCCTCCTCCTCCTCCTCCTGGCCTGTCCTCCTCCTCCTCCTCCTCCTGACTCCACATCCTCGGGGAGGCTTCGGGCTGCCCAGCGGACAGCCCCCAAGCAGCCCTGGCTGGCCCCAGGAGGCCACCCGAGCAGGCCCCCGGGGGGCGCCGCGGGAGGCGGCGCCGCGGTGTCGAGACCGCCCTGGACTGCTCCAGAGGAAACAGAACTATGCACACACACACACACACACACACCGATTCTGGCCAGGCCCACCCTGAGCCCAGGATCGGTGCACACGCCCTCCTACCTTGGCCAGGAGAGGAGGAGGAGGAGGAGGAGGAGGAGGAGGAGGAGGAGGAGGAGGAGGAGGAGGAGCAGGAGGAGGAGAGGAGAGGAGGAGGAGGAGGAGGTGGGGAGGAGGGGGGAGGAGGAGGAGGAGGAGGAGGAGGAGGAGGAGGAGGAGGAGGAGGAGGAGGAGAGGAGGGAGGAGGAGGAGGAGGAGAGGAGGGGAGGGGAGGACGAGGAGGAGGACGACGAGGAGGAGGCGGAGCTTCTTCGATGGGCCTTGCCAGGATCGGTGCATGTGCATAATTCTCTTCGCCCTGGACTACTCTCGTGGGCGTCCACGAGGGGGGCGCCCAACAGGGAGGGCGCAACCCCTGCCCCGCGGCATGCGTGCGGCTCAGGGGGGGGGGGGGGGGATGCCCCCCCCCCCAGTCATCACCCCCTCTTTCGGGAGCGGCCAAGAGGGGGAGAGGGGGGGGTGCAGATCATGACCAGCGGGCGCGGCCCAGCGGGGGGGCCAGGGATGTAATGAAGCAAGAAGAGGCACCACTAAATCTGGGGAGATATCATGGCCCACGCCATGATTATCCCCCCCCTAGTCATCACCCCCTCTTGGGCGCCCCCGATGATCGGGGGGCCTGCTGAGGCTAGCCGGGAATACCTGGGGTGGGGGCTGTCTGTGCACAGCCCGAAACCTTCGCACTGCTCCTGCTCGTTCCGTCGCTGCCCTCCTCCTCCCCGCCCTCGTCGTTTTTTTTCCTCTCTCTCTATACATACGTATATGCACTGATGCCCTCGGCGGTTCGCACGGGGGAGTGAGAGGAGGCGGGCCTTCTGAGAAGGCTCGGAAGTCCCCCGGCCTTCTGAAACGTTTTCGAAGCCTTCCCCGAATTCACAGAAAACTTCTCAGAAGTCGCGAGGGGCTCCGAGAAGCCCCGCCGCCTTCTGAGAAGCCCTTCTCCTTCTCACTTCCCCCCCTCGCTCGCCGCCGATAACGGTCGGTCGGAAGAAGTGGGTAGAAACATGAAGCAGGACACGGATCGACAGAAACGTGTTCGCTGTGTCATCGATTGTTCCTTAATGGTTTCGTTTTGTTATTATTTCGACCCGAACGGAACATGTTGTTCGTTGTCATTTTGCTATCGTTACCCCTAGCTTTGTCTTCAGTCCGCCTCTGCTGCACGACGACAATCGAAACGAAGACGGCCCACGAGATCGCCAAAACACAGTTTTATGCCGACCCCTGAAGTGGGGAAGGCGTTCAAGTAGAAAAGGGCTTCCGCCCGCCACTCGAGCATTGAAGTGGGGAGGCGCCCCAACCAGATTGGAATCAGAGGATCCAACACCACTGACTTTCGACGACCGACGAGTCTACATACACCAGGCATCCAACGTCATCAAGGCGAAGGCGCCCTAAGTAGATTGGAATCAGAGGATCCAGCAATACCTACTTTCACCGACCCACGAGTATACATACAGGCATCCAACGTCATCAAGGCAAAGGCGACCATAAGTAGATTGGAATGAGAGGATCCAACAATATCTACCTTCAACGACCGACGAGTATGCATACACCAGGCATCCAACGTCATCAAGGCGAAGGCACCCTAAGTAGACTGGAATCAGGAAGATCCAACCATACCTAATTTCAAACACCGGCGAATATACACATATCGCTGCCCTTCTCAAGGCCCGTCTCCGGGCTCTAGAACCATTGGGACATGAGTCGGGAAGAGAAAACAGCCATGGGATAAGGGTTGGCACTCGATCGATAGGTCGCGCCATCAATAGGTAGATAGTGAGAGCAACACATGTGTATATATATATATACACATACATACATATGTAAATACATCACCATGCACAGCTATCCCAGGGAACACAACTCAGAGGTGATTGCTTGTCACCGAGGTTCTTTTCTGGCCGTTTCCAGTCGGAGAATCGGACGCACCCCTCACGCAGTTCGCGACGTCACGGTCCGAGAACACAGCCACGGGACATGGGATTCACACAGTTCTTGTCACAAGGCACATTGACCTGAGAGAACCCATACAACGCACGCAACACACGCACAACTAACACAACACAGACCACCCACACACACACCACATACACAACGAACACACGACGACAGCCATATTACACATAAAACACACCGACACGCTGAGAACACAGAACGCTACAGGCACAATTCACAGCCCACACAACAGGCACAACAAAGCACATGTACACACATTCAACACACAAAAAGCAACAACACCCAGAACACACCGATAACACACATACAACACCTACAACACCCATAACACAGTACCCAGCACACACAACATACCCTACACACAACATACGATAATACACAACACAACACACCTATACTCACACACGCACACGACACACGACACACACACACATCTACAACGCACAAACATTAACTTACGAATACCACACAACACACCAGACACCCGCCATAACACATGTCGCACACGTGACACACACATCACACGCACGCACACCACACACCCACGCATATTGCACTACGATGTGCTGCATGAGCCTGGGCACGCATACTCCATCCGTAGATACAGATAACATAAAGATATACCTATATCTATATATATATAGAAACTGAGATCGACGGGTAGGTAGTGAGATCGGTAGATGGCGAGGTCGAGAGATAGATATATCGATAGCTGCGCCGATCCCCCACAAAACCTACTCCACACCCAACTGTTGCTCTACGGGGTACAGCGGACTCCAAAATGAATCCTTGCACTTGGGGCTATTGCGTACTGACTGGCTGGATCTCCCGGTGTTCGTCCCCTCGTGGGCGCCCCGTGCGCTGGCCGAGTTTTCGGGGTGTCCGCCTGCTGCCCATCCGTGCCTACACGGTTTCCCCTGGGGCCGTAGACGACACGAGGAGGGGAGGGCGAGCAGGGGGAGGAGGAGGAGGAGGAGGAGAAGGAGGAGGAGGAGGAGGAGGAGGAGGAGAAGGGAGGAGGAGGAGGAGGAGAATGAGGAGGAGGGAGGAGGAGGAGGAGGAGGAGGAGGAGGAGGAGGAGGAGGGAGGAGGGAGGAGGACGGGTCGCCTGAGCCCTTCGGAGAAACCCTCCACCCGTGCCCCGCCTCGTGGGCGCCCCGTGCGCTGGCTGGGTGCTCGGAGGTTTCGGCGAGCGCTCGCCCGTGGGCGCCCCGTGCTGCGCCTCGCCCTGCGCGCTGGCGGGGCTGCCCACAATTCTTCGGCCCGTGCCCGTCCTTGGGCGCCTCGCAGGCTAGCTGGCGCCGCCAGGTGCACACCCGGACTGCACCAAGCCAACTTGCACCACGCAGTGTGCACCACTTAGGTACAGCACAGCTTGCAACTAGCAGATTGCACGGCATGTGTGCAAACACAAGTTGCACCGCATGTCTTGCACATTACACGTGCATGCAGACATGCATGTGTAACCCGTACGGAAACGAATTCAACACATAGCCTGTAACCGCATGTATTGCACCGCCTAGGTCGCACACCATAGAATGCACCCAGTAGACAGCAACACACACCTTGCAACCCAGATCCCACCAGCCCTTTGGGCGTGAGTGGTTTAGGGAGCTCTCTCTGTTCTCAACCCCCCTTCTTCCCCTTCGGGGAGAGGTTTACCCCTCCCCCTACCCCCTCCCCCTGGGCCTGGAGAGGTCCTTTCGCGGGTGGCCGGAGGGGTCTTTTTTGACTCCTGGGAGGGCTAAAAAACGACACCCCTCACGAGGATTCTGGCCCCGACGGGGGGAGGCAGAAAAAACCCTCCCCTCTTCTTTGAAGCCAACATCATTGATTTTACTACGGTTTTGGCCCCATTTTGGCCTTCTGAGGGGGGAGCGCTAATTAAAGCTCCCCTCTTCTTTCAAGCCAAAATCATTGATTTTACTAAGGTTTTGGCCCCATTCTGCCCTTCTGAGGGGGCAGCACTAATTAAAGCTCCCCTCTTCTTTGCTCGATTTCCTCCAAGATGGCCCCAAGAAGCGCCCAGGAGGCACCTAGAGGCCCCAAGATAGCCCCAAGAGGCCCCCAGGAGGCACCCAAGAGGCCTCCAAGAGGCCCCCAAGATGCCCCCAAGAGCCCCCCAAGACGCCCCAAGAGGCTCCCCCGAGGCACCCAAGACGCTCCTGGAAGCCCCTGGGGCCGCCAAGAGGCCCCCAAGACGCCCCAAACGGCCTCCAAGAGGCTCCCAAGAGGCCCGAAGAGGCTCCCCCAAGGCACCCAAGACGCTCCTAGAAGCCCCTGGGGCCGCCAAGAGGCCCCCAAGACGCCCCAAAAGGGGACGAGGTGCCCGAACGCCTCACGCCACGAGGAGCCCGAACGACTCACACCAGGACGAGGGGCCCGAACGACTCACACCACGAAACACCACACCAGAAGGAGGGGCCCGAACGACTCACACCAGGACGAGGCGCCCGAACGACTCACACCACGAGGAGCCCGAACGACTCACACCACGACGAGGGCCCCGAACGACTCACACCACGAGGAGCCCGAACGAGTCACACCAGGAGGAGGGGCCCGAACGACTCACACCAGGACGAGGGGCCCGAACAACTCACACCACGAGAAGCCCGAACGACTCACACCAGGACGAAGAGCCCGAACGACTCACACCACGAAGAGCCCGAACGACTCACACCAGGAAGAAGGGCCCGAACGACTCACACCAGGACGAGAAACCCCAAACGACTCAAACCACGAGGAGCGCTTTCTCTCCCTCCTCCTCCGCCTCGTCCTTCTCCCGCTCCCACCACAAGGAGGATGTACAAGGAGGCGGGAGGAAGGAGGAACAGGGGAGATATGCGGGGGCAGGCGGAAACACGCCTGAAAAACACGACTGTCGGCATGCTTCGCAAGAGTTGCTGTTTTGAGATGGGCTGGTGGGGATACGCGAAGCGTAAAAAAAATCAACACATAGCCTGTAACCGCATGTATTGCACCGCCTAGGTCGCACACCATAGAATGCACCCAGTAGACAGCAACACACACCTTGCAACCCAGATTGCACCACGTAGGTCGCACCAAAGACAATCCATATAACCCTGAGCCCCTGATATTAACCCCCTGGGGATAATAAAGTGCGGGGTCCAGGGGGGGAAATAAACGTTTCCTCGGCAGATCGGAGGATGCTGGTGATGAAGATGATGATGATCCTTGGTTCTTGGAGCTTATCGAGATCCTCGCTCTGATGATCCTTGGCGACTCTCGAGATCTCGCACCCAAAGCTCGCATACGCTGTGGAGGATGGTTCTAGTCAACTTAAGAAGATAACAACTTCGATTCGCAACTGTCCCCCGCGATGATAAAGTACGGCCTGGCCGCCCCGCTCCCCCGACCAACTCTGCATTGGCCTGGGATACTAAACTCTCAGGCATGAAGGGGGGAAAAGGGTACCCTTTCTTATCCAGGGGTAGCGGTCATGTATATGTGTGAAAAGGCACCCTGTCTACACACGCATGTCTGTATAAATATTAACCTATGTTGCAGTACATCGGTGGCACCATACACATACTCCACAACACAATTCGCACATCGAAAATTCAAAACGAGAACCCACCGTGCGGGGTCCACGCTGGCTACCATATATGCATCTCTACCTGACTGTCCACAATCACCTAGACATCCATAAGACAACCACGGGAACATCGATCCTGTTCGTCCGACTCAGCCCGAAGTGCCTGTGCCAGACACCCTCCTGACATAAGACCAAACCAAACTCGATTCTCCAATTGGGGTCACTGAGCACTCACACACCCCAACCTCCAACGAAACGAGCCTTCGAATATTTGAATCCGTCGGGATATTGGTCCTTGGATGGCGCTGACCCGCACCTGCCCATATGCCGTCCGAGTCAGCACCACTGGACGCGGCAGGAACGACAGCAACGCTTTCCACACGCAAATCGAACAACACATTACGCATACGGGGAGTAGCTTGTTCAAGGCATGGCAGGGCTGAACAACATAACATATCTTTACGTATATACACATCTGTAAAATTGTAGGTACGGGTGTGTATATATAAATCTATAGATTCGTACAAGTACGATATCCGGTCCAAGTTGGCCATTGGACACTGGCCGGAACTTGTCCAGATATGGTCTGGACGTTGACTCACGCTGCTGCGAAGCTGCGACGAGGTAATCAAGGTAATGGACGGTATGGTGGAATCGCACTGTGAGGGATGACTACCTACCTGGTCGAGGTCGGATGAAAGACTCAAGAGGTACCTACCCGCTGAGGCTAGCACGGTCAGCAGACCCGCTCCGCCGACTCCTATGGCGACGGTCACACTCGCGTTATGGACTGACTGCTCGAGCTCTGAAGATTGACGGTTTGATTGTCCCCGCGGCGGCCCAGTACTTGCAAGACGCGCCGAGCGGGAGTGCAAGAGAGGTGTACAACAAGTAGACGCCAGAAGACCAAAGAACGCTGTGCAACTCCTGGCCAAGGTACGTCATCTTGGGAGCCCACGAGCTGGTTCCGATTGTGAGGAACATCCTCCAAACCCGAACCGCGAGAACTCCAGGGATGGTATGAACCAAAGTGCCGAATGCGGAAGGATCAGAAGGACAAGATGAGTCATCAGACGAGAAGACGTGGAGGATGAGCCTCAGGCCCAGGCCGGAGGCATCGGCGGGTGAGGGTTCATCTTAGGTTCTCTCAAGCGTGTGGCTTCAGCGCAGAAGCATGGCAATAGAAACACCCTTGGGCCGCCACGCAAGACGAAGCAGGTGGCAGAGAAAAACCGGTCTTCGAGTAGGGGAGCGACAACAGAATTTCTGCTTCACCCCGAAACTGCGCCTTCCTGCCTAATCCACGAACAAATCGTGGATCTGGCAAGAACAACCTTGGCGGGGTACACCAATTCTGTGGTCGACCCCCTACCCTTGGGTCAAGTATGTCTCCCTACAGGGGGCTTTCGGGGCGAAACATGAAAACAAACACAAACGAAATGCGCAAAAATAGCCAAAACATGCTCAACACATCGTCCCCAGGTTATTGTTTGACTGTTTTTGAATACTCTTCCTGTAGGAGCGACAGGCCCGACTTCACCCTGCCCGAAAGTCTTGGAACAACTCCGCGCAGGCCCACGGCCTGTTCCCAAGGAGCGCTCGGGCGGGTCGCGGGAAGTGATGAGCTTTTTTTCCACCACCACCACCATGTGTTGGAAGGGGGAAGGAGGAGGAGGAGGAGGAGGAGGAGGAGGAGGAGGAGGAGGGGCCCCCCTCCAACTTACGGTGGTGGTGGTGGAGAACACGCCCATCGGGAAGAGCATCGACCGAGGGCAGGCCAGCCATGGAGAGCGCCGGCGGGGTAGCGACGCCGCACCGAAACCCGCGAGCCCTCGCGGGGCCCGCGCCGCCGGGCCCCCCCCGCGCGCTCCTTGATCGAGGTGAGGTTGCTCCACGAGAAGGCGCTCGGATACCTCGCGGGCCGCTGCCGCCACCGCGCCCGCTCTGCCACGCCCAGTTGAGCAGGGACCGACCGTCCCAGCATTTCTATAGGCCTACCACGACAGGTTCTTAGAACCCAGAAGTGTTCTAAGAACAACAACAGTGTTCTTAGAACATAAGCCCGACGTGCTAAATCAAGACAGACTCAGCCAGATATCCTAAGAACATCTCGTGGAAACCAAACAAGGTTCTAAGAACATGCTTCGGTAGGCCTATAGGCGAGCCAAGACCCTTCGCCACTGCTTGACACAAATTTGGGGGGGTGATCTCATCATTCCCGGATAGCTCGTAGTAGAGAGCTTACCCATCAATCGGAAGAAGCAGGTAGACACGTGTGAAGTAGGAAGGCGTCGAGAGCAAATTGGGTGTCCGCCCGCCCCTCGGGACCGAGGCCCGCCCTTGCCCGTGGACGTGCGAGGCCCCATGGGCCTCTCCTGAGGCGGGCAGCAGGACCTGAGCTCTGAGAGCTGCATGCGCTCAGGCTGCAGGTAGACCAAGAGCTACGACTAGAGCCGTATACACGTACACACATATATACACACATAGATGCACACATATTTATATACACATATCTATATATAGATATGCAGACTATGACATACATCTAGAAGTGTGAGCGTATGTGAGCAATAGAGATAGGTAGAGAGGGAGAGAGAGAGAGAGAGAGAGAGCGCCAGCGCGAATAGTGAAAGTCAACGAAGGCATGTCCAAGCCAAGAAATCATAAGCCAAAACGATATCCAACAACACGTATAAGCCAAACGCTACAATTGCGCCAATAATTTCGTTCAACCAGAACGCTGAACAAAGCTTGAACACGAACCTGAAGACACGGCTGCCGCAACACATCCCCTCTATCCTGCTGACGGGCCTCAAGGCGGTCCACTGCCACAACAAGTACACAGTGGCAGAGCAATCTATAACGTCTGCAAATACATGTGGAAAATTCAACTTACGCAGGAACAGATGCCAGACTGGCTTCGTGCAAATCCAACGGGCTTTTATCCTCGGGGACCGAATATCGGATCCGACCTGGCATGCTGCCACGAAAGGGCTGCGCCCTTTGTGCTGGTAGCCATCTTGTCATTGTCCACGATCCTGGTTTCCATAATGCCGTCATCACCTGGCCAATCGGGCCTAGGTTCCTAGGCAGACAGACCTGTCCGTGGCATTCAGCTTCCCAGAACGCCGACGTTGTGATTCTTCACACGCAACATGGCCTCCCAGCGGTCTGGACCCTTTCCCCGGAAACAACTTTTCATCCAGGGTAGTTTGTTGACGGCCGCAGGGACTGGTAAAGCCCCCCAGGCGCCGATAACTGCCCAGCACATCCCGTCGTATGTATTCAGCACGCGAGGGGATCTGGACTCTGGACTAACAGAGGTTCAGTTTCAACTCAAGTCCCAACCAGCTCAAGCGGTCGGGTCGCGACAATGAAGGGCGACCATCAAGATGCTGGACGCCCTTGCGAGATGTCCGCCACTCTCAGACAGAAAGGGAAAGGAGACGGAAGAGAGGATACCAGGGCGCCCCAAGAGAGGTGCGGGCGCCCACGGGAAATTCGTGTCCTGACGACCTGCGCGCCGGTTTTTGACACCGCGTGGATCGTGCAGCCTTGAACGGCCTCGGCCGTCTGACAACTATACCGCTCACCGTCGGCCGATTCCAGGAAACGTTCAACCTTGAACGTCCACGCTGGGGTCGGTCGCCGCTGCCGCGTTGAAAGCGAACTCCCCAACGAGCTAGAGGCGAAGGGTGGGAGCGCGCGTGGGCTCACAGCCAGGCCAGGAATGCGGACAGATTCCCCCCTGCACACCCCAGAAGGATGCAGGGTCACTTGGAGAGCGGGTTCTCCTGCTTGTGGTGGAATATGCGCGGCCACTTCTCGCCTGGGGGCGGCGCGAGCTCACCGCGCTCCACCACCCCATCCATACACTTTACCTCCATCTGGTACTTCGAGGACGAAGACGAGCATACAACTGAGCTGCCGCGCCGTCGATGATGCCTGTCCCAATGCAGCTAACAACTGTTTATCCCCCAGTGGCGACTATAACTTCCATGCCGCCGTAGAACAGGCGCCCTCGATGGCGGGACACCTCATAGTACACTACACAGTTCGTAGTACGTCGCTAACTTCCCCCCCGCCCTCTTTGTCTGTCCGCCCTTTGTTGTGCACAGAGGCGCGTGGAGAATAGATCAAGCGAGACCAAGCGCCCACCTCTTAGGATGCAACGTCTGGCGACCGATCATGGTGCCATCGAACCGGGCTGGCCCGGACTAAGCGGATTATACCAGATAGCTGGAATATAACATTGATTTAGACAGATCAAATCGAAATAGGCTGGTTTCCGAAAGCGGATATTTCAAAACATCTCAGAAATTGCATCCTCCTCCCAACAGATTCTGGCATGTCGGGTCCTCGCTGCCCTGGCGCAGCACCATGCCAGCAGCACGATTTAGGGAGTGGTCCGCGGTCGGGTTGATGGGTCCAACGCAAAGGTCGGACTGCCTGGGTGGAGCCCACACAGACTTTCCCGCAGACGGTGGCAACTGCAGCACAGTACTCGGCGGAACCACTTCAAGGTTCATCTACTTGTGCTAGTCTGGGACCGTTCGCCGTTCTCCCTGCCTGGAATCAGGGCACTGCCATGGGAGCTGATGCTTAACAACAAAAAAAACCCTAACCTGTTGGGAGGGGACCTAAGTTAGGAGGGCCAGAAACATTAGGGATAAGAGGGTCTGCTCTGCAGCTGTATCGGGCCACGCAGCCCAGATGGATTGTCTCTGAGGCCAAGACGCGGACCCGAGTGACGCCACGTCTGCATCGTGTTCTGAGGGTTGGAGGCTTTCTTGTCCTCGATGAGCTTATGCCCGAGGCCGACAGAAACACCAGCCCTGCCGGGTCGATTCGCGAATCTCCCGCTCTGCCGGTCTGCGCCCGCGAGGTCTGGACCTCCGGGCCATCGTCAGCCATTGGGCAGGGGATGGCCGTCCGGGCACTCGTGGGCCTAGCACAGCACGCTGTTCGCACCAAAGAATGGTGTCACAACACACACACACGCACGCAATTTTTCAATGATCAGAAGCCGATGCATTGAGGCATGACAGCTCCAGCCAGAAATGTTCAAAAAATACTCCGTGCCAGCTCCAGCAGCTGATCAGCACATGCTCTGGTGAGCTCGTAGGCAGGCCGGGGCGCTTCGCCACTGCTTGTACTAAAGAGCGCTTCCCCAAACGACTTGATTTATCATGGTCCTTTAGGATTCTTCTCAGGAGCCAGGTGCGGGGATCGCCAGACCTGGAATCGGTTGGGCGCTCAGGTCTCCAATGGTCTCCCGTGGCCTCCCGAGGTCTCGTGCAGTCTCCAGCGGCCTCCCGTTGCCCCCCTCGCATTAGTTTCGGTAGTCTTACGATCACGCTTGCGATTGCTATTGCAAAAACTATTCGCTATCGCTTTTTCTAGTGATGGTCTTCGTGTGAGGTGTCCGTGTTCGTGTTAGTCTTGATGTTGTCTCCCGTTGGTCTCCAGTGGCCTTCCCTTCAGAATCGGTCGGGCGACGTCGTCCCCCGCCATCTCCAGGGGTCTCCTGCTGTCTCCGATGGTCTCCCGTTGCCTCCCGTGGCCCCTCTCCTCCGAAGTCGGTCGGGTGGCGTTGCCCCCCGTTGTCTCCCGTTGCTTTCTGTTCTCTCCTGTCGTCTCCCGTCGTCTCCCGTGGCGTCCCCGTAATAGGATGAATCAAACTACCGGTGCACCTGTGGGTAATTGTGTTCGTGACAGTGTGGTGGGCATTCGCAATAGGAATCGAAGTCGCAATAATGTTCTTGCTGTCGTAATGATAAGACTCCGAATCGCAATAATGTTCTTGCTGTCGTAATCATAGTATTTCTCGTAGTGGAGTTGTTGATGGCTCAAGGATCCATATCCGTGTCAGCATTCGCATTCGCATTCGTATCAGTAGTAGTATGACTAGTAGAATGCGAGTGCCCGTATCAACAAGAGGCCTCCAACACGCCTCAAGATGCCTCCGAGAGCACTTCCAAGATGGCTCAAAGAGACAAGCAGAGTTGAACATCCTCAGCCGTTTGACTGAATTTGGCGTTTCCGCTTTTTCGGCCCACGAACCGACATGTTTCGCTCTCCGCCACAAGAGGCGCCAAGGAGGCCCGAATAGGCCCCCGAGAGGCCCCCAAGAGGCACCCAAAAAGTACCCAAGAGGCCCCAAAAAGGACCCCAGGAGGCCCCCAAGAGGCCCCCTAGCTACCTCTAAGAGGCTCCCAAGAGGCGTCCAAACTGCCCCCCAGAGGCCACCAAGAGCCCTCCGAAGAGACCCCAAGAAACATCAATGAGGACTCTGATCCTCGCTAAGGTGGCGGGATGGGCCGAAGGCCACTAGACAATAGTTGTCAGGGCCCAGGCATGGACTGCACGGGCCCTGCGGGGAGAGCTGCTGAGCGCATTCTGCCGCAAGGGTGTCATTTGCCCAGGCGGGTTGCGCCCGCCCCCGATGACTGCCCAGCTGCGGCACGGCCCTCCGGCGACACTGCGACGCATGCCGGACGACGGCGGGGGGCGACGAGTCTTCGGCCGGAAGACGCCGCGGAGTCGCAGCGAGCGTTGTCCAATCCAGGGGGGCGGAGGGCCCGCCCGCCGCCCCGGGAAGGGCATGGCGCCTAAGGCCCCCCAGTCCCACTTGCCCCTCTCCGCCCCCTCCCAGGCCCCCCCCCCTCCCTCCAACTGCCGAGTCTCCCTAAATCCTCATCGCCCCTCCGTCCTCCCCCCGCCCCTCTTCAGCTTCTCCTGCCTCCTCTCTCTTCCCCCCGCATGTTCCTCGCCTCCTCCTGCTCCTCCTCCTCCTCCTCCTCCTCCTCCTCCTCCCTCCCTCCCCCCCTCTCTCCGTCCTCCCTCCCTCCCTCCCTCCCTCCTCCTCCTCCTCCTCATCATCATCATCATCCTCCTCCCCCTCCTCCTCCGCCTCCTCCTCCTACTCCTCCTCATCTGCTTCTTCTCCTTCCCACCTTCCCCTCTTCCCTGCCGCTTCTTCCTCGCCTCCCCCCTCCCTCCCACTCCGCTCACCTCCCCCCATCCCCCCCTCCCCACAACCCCATTACTACTTGCGAGGGGGAGGGGGGGAACATGTCCTCTTCCTTCTCCTCCTCCTCCTCCTCCTCCTCCTCCTCCTCCTCCTCCTCCTCCTCCTCCTCCTCCTCGTGAAGAGGCTCCAGAACCAAGCTCTGGCAGGACCCGTCTCCTCACCAGGACGATCTCGAATCCCGCCAGCCCTCTGGGCGTAGGTGGTTTAGGGCGGCTCCGCTTCCAACCCCCTTTCTTTCCCTTCGGAGAGGGGTTTGCCCCTCCCCCTCCCCCCTCCCCTGGACTTGGACGGGTGGACCCCTTCTCGTCTGGGGGACCGGCTTTTCATCCTCAATAACTTGTTGGCGGTCCCAAAGCCCACTAAGGCCCCCCAGAAGACGCAAATAGCGAAACACCTGCCATCACTTGTTTTTCCACGACGAGAATGGGTCTGGGAGGATGAGGGAAAGGAGGGGGAGAAGGAGGAGGGTGACGACGAAGACGACGACAAGCGGGAGGAGGACGACAACCAGGTTGTCCACCTCGTCGTCGCCGCTGTCCCCTGCCTCACCGACATCGACGAGGCGAAGGAGAGGGGAGGAGGCAGAGGCGAACGATGAAGAGGCCGAGGGGGAGGAGGACGAGGCCGATGAGGGGGAGGAAGGCGAGCATGACGGGGAGCAGGGCGAGGAGGAGGAGGAGGAGGAGGAGGAGGAGGAGGAGGGGGAGGAGGAGGAGGAGGAGGAGGAGGAGGAGGAGGAGGAGGAGGAGCAGGAGTAGGAGGAGGAGGAGGAGGAGGAGGAGGAGTAGGAGGAGGAGGCGGACGGGGTGGAGGTGAGCGACCACAAGGAATGGGCGACGACGACGACGCGGGGGCCAAAGACGCCCGGCCGGCGAGGGCGCGGCGCCGTCGGAGACCATGTCCGCGCTGGGCGAGCTCAGCCCCGTGGAGAAGCCGGCCGTCGCGGAGGCGCCCCAGTTCCTCGGGGCAGCGCCCCACGGCGGGCCCTCCTCCTCCTCCTCCTCCTCCTCCTCCTCCCTTTCCTCCCTTTCCTCCCTCCTCCTCCTCCTCCTCCTCCTCTCCTCCTCCTCCTCCTCCTCCCAGTTCCTCGGGGCGGCGCCCCACGGCGGGCCCGAGCACGGCTGCGGCCGGAGGGTCGCACCGCATCTGGTGGGCCTGGCTTC